AGAATAGAATAGAATAGAATAGAATAGAATAGAATAGAATAGAATAATAGAATAGAATAGAATAGAATAGAATAGAGAATAGAATAGAATAGAGAATAGAATAGAACCAAACTGAACTGAATATAGAATAGAATAGAATAGAATAGAGTAGAGTAGAGTAGAGTAGAGTAGAGTAGAGTAGAGTAGAGTAGAGTAGAGAATGGAATGGAATGGAATGGAATGGAATGGAATGGAATGGAATGGAATGGAATGGAATTAGGGATAGAATAGAATAGAATAGAATAGAATAGAATAGAATAGAATAGAATAGAATAGAATAAGGAATAGGAATAGGAATAGGAATAGGAATAGAATTCCCCAACCAGCATGGCACAGTTGACTGGGGGGATTCTGGGAATTGGTCCACCCATCTTAATGATGGATGTAGAGGCTCCTTGTTTGCAAGCATAAGAGTGAGAGAAAATATTTTTCCCCCAAGTTTTACACCAGTTCTCCTTCCTAAGACACACAACATTTCCAGTTTTATTAATTGACTAGCTCGATACCTGTGCCTCGCTATGAAACTAAGTGATTGGGCTTAGTTTTTGGTGAGGAAAATAGGGGAAAAAATGTGCCTCTTCCCATCAGCATCCATCGGTAATCATCTGGCTAGCGACCTGTCAGCGTGTGAGAGAGTTGAGGGCTGTTTGGAAACTGAAAAAGTATTTGCTGTGTGAGCAAGAAGGAGACAGCAAGGAGCCTGGGCGTGGCTTAGTTCAACTGTTCTGTACTAAGGCTGCTTGCTGCTATGAAACTGAAACTGAACCTCCTCTCCTCTGCTTGTGTTTTGCATTTGGAAGAGATTTCTTTTCAGGTGGGGAGGGAGAGTAGAACTCCTTGGCATCAGAGCATGTTAATAATAACAATATAGGAAATACTAATAGCTCTGATGGTCATTTAGAAAAATCCTTTCTTAGTGAGCCCCTAGAAGCCAAGAGGAACATACGTGCCAAATGTCAAATTTGTAGGCTTTACGGTTCTGGAGATTTTGTGATGATGCGTAAGTGGTCTTTCGCTTTGATAGATAGATAGATAGATAGATAGATAGATAGATAGATAGATAGATAGATAGATAGATAGATAAGGAAGCTGGGAAATGTTGCTCGAAGGGAAGGAAGGAAGCAACTTCAAGAATCTTTCCTAACTCGGTGATCTCTTTTTGATCCACTTCGTTCTGCTCCAGCAACAGCAAAGCTTTGGAACCCAAGAACCGGTGTGCAAAAACCAAGGCCAAGGGTTATGGTGGGACCAAGGAGAAGACCTTGGAATGTGGACAGATTGTCTGGGGTCTGGCTTTTAGTTCGTGGCTGCCGTCCCAGTCACATAAGTATCGCCACCGGAAGGAAACGTTTCCTTGCTTGATCCTGGCCACGGGATTACATGACGGGCAGATTAAAGTCTGGGAGGTAGAAACAGGTACGTTGGCTTTATTTCCTGAAACAGCAGGCAATCTTTGCAAATTTGCTTACAGATACAGGCACGTGTGTGTGGAACTTCTTTCACCCTGCCTCAGTATAGGTAGTCCTCAATTTACGGCCCAAGTTTGTTTGTTTTAGAGTCTTTGTAAACAAGATTGATTGAAAGACAATTGTTACCAACCTGCCTTCAATTGAGTACCTGTATACTGCACGAGTCAAAAAGAGGGCTGTGAAAATATCTACAGACCCCTCACATCCCAGACATAAACTATTTCAACTCCTTCCCTCAAAACGATGCTATAGAGCACTGCACACAGAACAACTAGACACAAGGGGAGTTTTTCCTCGAACATCATCACTCTGCTAAACAAATAATTCCCACAACACTGTCCAACTATTTAATGTATTGCTATTATTCTTCTCATCCTTCCTAGTACTTATCTCTTCCCACTTATGACTATAACCTTGTTGCTTGTATCTCTATGATTTATATTGTTTTATTTGTTTCCTAGTATGGTTTGACTGCTTATTTAGCAACCTATGACTATCACTAAGTATTGTATCTTATGATTCTTGATGAATGTATTTTATTTCTTCTTTTTATGTACACTGAGAGCTTATGCACCAAAGACCAATTCCTTGTGTGCCCAATCACACTTGGCCAATAAAGAATTCTATTCTATTCTATTCTATTCTGTTCTGTTCTGTTCTGTTCTGTTCTGTTCCGTTCCGTTCCGTTCCGTTCCATTCCATTCCATTCTCCTCCTCCGATTCTGATTCTATTCTATTCTATTATAAATGCAAGACACTAATGTTCTGCAGATAATCCTTGACAACCCATTTCATTGTCCTTTTGCCCGCTGCCTCCTTCTTGGCAGGGAACATGCTTTTTCACCTTGTGGGGCACCAAGACGTGGTGAGGGATTTGAGCTTTGCACCCGGCAACCCTTGTTCCATTCTCGTCTCTGCATCCCGGGACAAAACGCTTCGAGTCTGGGACCTCAGTCAAAATGGTAAGAATGATTGTACAGACTAACAGAGTTGGAAGGGGCCTTGTAGGTCATCTAGTCCAACCCCGCTGCCCAAGCAGACCCTACACAATTTCTGACCGATGGCAATCCAGTCTCTTCTTGAAAGCTTCCAGGGATGAAGCTCCCACAACTTCCAGAGGCAACTTCTGTTCCATTGGTTGATTGTTCTCACTGTCAGAAAATTCACTGTCAGAGACTTAAGCCTAACCCAATGCAATCTTCCTGTGTATTTTACCGTGAAACATAGAAGGCCTTGCTAGTTGGACATTCTTAGAAGAGGGACCCGTAGCATTCAGACTTCCTTTCTGGTTCTCTAATCCCCACCTTCCCGCTCTCCCCCTCTTCTATTTTTTTTCTAGGGAAGCAATTGAAAGTGCTTTCTGGACATTTGCAGTGGGTTTATGGTTGCTCCATTTCTCCTGACGGTCAGATGCTCTGCTCCGTGGCTGGAGAGAAATCGGTGAGTTTTAAGCCTGCACAGAAAGGGCCATGTTGTTGACAGTGAGAAACGAGGCTGGTATATAGATCTTTGGTGATAATCTATCTTTAGATTTGTGACCAAGTGGTGAGAGTGCAGTACTGCGGGCTACTTCTCCTGACTGCCAGCTGACTGCAATTTGGCAGTTCGAATCTCACCAGGCTCATGGTTGACTCAGCCTTCCATCCTTCCAGGGTGGGTAAAATGAGGACCCAGATTGTTGGGGGCCAAGAGGCTGACTCTGTAAACCGCTTAGAGAGGGCTGGAAAGCACTGTGAAGCGGTATGTAAGTCTAAGGGCTATTGCTGTTGTTATGACTATTTCCATGGCGCAGTGGTTAGAATTCAGTATTGCAGGACAATTCTGCCCACAGCCAAGAGTTCAAACGGGACCAGCTCAAGGTTGACTCAGCCTTCCGTCCCTCCGAGGTGGGTAAAATGAGGACCCAGATTGTTGTGGGCAAGACTCTGTAAACCACTTAGAGAGGGCTGTAAAGTAGTATATAAATAGGTGAGGCCTGTCAAACTGGCGGCTCGCAGGGTGGAAGCATCCTGCACAGTCCACACCCTCTCTGTTCTGCAAAGGTTAAAAAAAAATGTTGCGATACGTCATGATATGTCACGTGACGCAATCAGGTTTGACACCTGTTTGCAGTGGTGGGATTCAGATTTTTTTTACTACTGCTGGCGTGGCTTGGTGGGCGTGGCTTGGTGGGCATGGCAGGGGAAGGATCCTGCAAAATCCCCATTCCCTCCCCACCCCACTAACCTGCTTTCCAGCTCCGTTCTCCTGTTCAGGGCAACCAAAGAAGACCCAGCCGATCAGTTGAGTCTTGATGGGAGGCAGAGAAGAGATGGGGTTGGCGGGGCCAGTCAGAGGTGGGATTGGCCGGTTCTCCGAACTACTCAAAATTTGAATACCACCTCTGCTGTGGTGTAAGTGCTATTTCTCCTTCCCTCTCTCTCTCTCTCTCTCTCCTCCCCTCCCTCCCTCCATCTCTCTCTCTCTCCTTTCTCACGCTACCAGGCTCTGCTCTGGAGTATGAACTCCTATTGCCTGCTGCGGAAACTGGAGGGACACCAGGGTTGCATCGCGTCCTGTGACTTTTCTCCAGACTCTGCTCTTCTTGCCACGGCTTCCTACGACACCTGCGTGATCCTCTGGGATCCCTATACGGGGGAAAAGCTAAGATCCCTTTGGTAAGGAAAGTGGACGGATGGATGGTGCCTTGGCGAGGTGGGCTAGATAGGAAGCACGAATTCCTTCTCATCCTTCGCGTTAAGATTAAATTTGCGGAATCCGGCAGGTCTGAAAGTACAGGTAGCCCTCGACCTATGACCACAGTTGAGCCCAAAATTCATGTTGCTCAGTGGAGAAAATGGTTACTGATGGCGTTTTGTTAACTGAGTCACTGCCGTTGTTGAGTTAGTCACCTGGTCGTTAAGTGAATCTGGCTTCCCCGTTGACTTGGCTTGTCAGAAGGGGATCAATGAACACGAGACACTGCAACCGTCATAAAGGTGAGTCAGTCATCAAGCATCCGAATATAAATCATGTGGCCATGGGCATGTTGCAATGGTCCCAAGTAAATGGTCGTAAGTCGCTTTTTCTTGGTGCCATCATAGCTTCAGTCACTGAATGAACTGTTGTGTAAGTCGAGAACTACCTGTACAGATCTCCCCGGTCCCCTTTAAAAAGGTAAAGGTTCCCTCTCCGTTGCAAAGCCGAAGAGCCAGCGCTATCCGAAGACGTCTCCGTGGTCATGTGGCCGGTAGGACTAAACGCTTTAAAAGGCGCACGGAACGCTGTTCCCTTCCCACCAAAGTGGCCCCTATTTTTCTACTTGCATTTTTCTTACATGCTTTTGAACTGCTAGGTTGGCGGAAACTGGGGATCTCTGAAGGCCATTCCCATAGACACCATGACAGGGCAGCTGGGAGGACTCAAAAGTTGCAAACTGGTGGGAGATGGACAACGGCTGATCTGCCCAAAGGCATGACGTTCATGTCAGGTTTCAAGAAATGCAACCATCATAAAAAACAAACTCCGAGGCATTTCAATCCCTCAAAGAACAAGTTTATTAAGATACACCATCTTGGCACTAACTAGTGGAAAGCCAGTACTGAAAGTTCCCTGGTCACTATAACGAGATTTTGTCAATTTTCCAAAACGATATTGCATGTCACATTGTCCAACCAGCATGTGCAACTCCACTCCTCCTTCCTCTGTTCGAACAGCCGTTGGAACGCAGCTGACTCATCGTCCAGCTTTGTTGTTTTGGCTGGGACTCCATCCACCTCAGTTCTCACCCCCTTCCAGCTCTCAAGTGTGTCAAACTGTATTCACCACTTAACCAAATTCAGGCTTGACAGGGCATTGGTTTAGATAGCCTTACCAAGGGACTGAACTGGATGTCTTCACCAGGGTCTTTTATCAGCAGCCTATAGTCCCCCCAGGTGGGCTAGTAGGAAGATTCCAACCTGCTTTTCCTTCTTCCCAAGGCATGTTCCCTTGCAACCTGCAGTGGACCAAGGTGGGAACTTCCACACCAGCTCCCTGAGGTCTGTGTGCTTCTCACCTGAAGGCCTCTACCTTGCCACAGTGGCAGATGACAGGTAAGAGGCTCCAGAATTGGAATGGAAATGCTTACGTTGTTATGGATCCTATTCCAGATATTGGGTCTACAGGAAGGACAAATAAGTGATTTAATTTTGAACAAGGTGGTACTTAGGATGAAAGCAGTGGAGTCCAAGACCAAGCATCTCTCCCTCTCTCAGAAGACAAGATCTCAATTAAACTGCCGTCAAGGATTCTGGGAATCCAGAAGAATGTTTGCTGAGTTGGCCAACGTTTGGATCAGGATCAGCGGATGTTCTTCAGATGGTTTGGCCTTACAAGTCCCATCGTGTCACGCTGGCTAGGAGGGATGGGACTCAAGAGACCCAAAACCTATGGAAACTGAAGACTGGTTTTTATTTCGTTGGGTTCTTGGGCTCAATTTTGGAACGCAAGAATATTCTTTTATCTCCTGTAGGCTCCTTCGGATCTGGGCATTAGAGCTTGAGAGTCCTGTTGCTTTTGCTCCGGTGAAGAACGGTCTCTGCTGCACTTATTTTCCACATGGTGGGATCATCGCCACGGGGTAGGTTTGGGGGCAAGAACCACGTGGTGTTTGTCTCAAAGGGGGGAAGGGGGAAGATCTTAAAAATCTGGAGTGTATGGAGTGTGCAGAGATGTTCACGAACCATCCACTTGCCCAATTGTGCATGGTTCATGGACCATTGAAGCTGCCTGAACCAACTGTGTCTTATTCTTGGGGTCATCTTGAGGTATAGACGTATCCTGCATGATCCTGGGAAGAGGCACAAAGAGGCTCCAGCAAGGAGGGAAGAACAAACATTTCTGCAAAACGTCAAGGTTGAAAGTTGACCTCAATCCAAGAGACTTGATGTGTGCGTGTATGCTTGTGTCATTGTTGACCTCCCAGTGACAGCCTGGAGTAGTCCTTCTATTTTTCTTGGCAAGAAAAACACAAGGACTACTCCAAGGTTGTCACTAGGGGGTCAACACTGACACAAGCATACACGCAGTCTCTTGAGGTCGACTTCCAATTTTGACTTGTTGGACATATATCTGTGTTATTTTCTTGGAAGGTTATGCCAATGTCATTTTCTAGGATGTTTCCCAATCTAGCCTGGGATCTGTGGAGTCCTTGGTGGTTTTCGTACAGATGTTTCCTTACACAACTAGGTGACATCATCAAGGCACTAATGGCATGGGCAATGAAACATCTGCAAGAAAACTACCAAGTTCAGAGAGCATTGAGGACCCTAGTCCTCCTCCTCTCCACAGGCCCTATCCCTTTCTGGCACTGATGACGTTCCCTAGTTGGGTAATGAAATGTCTGCAAGAAAACCACCAAGCTCAGAGATCACCAAGGACGCCTCAGTCCTCCTCCTCCTCCTCCACAAACCCCGCTCTCTAGCACTGATAATGCCACCTAGTTAGATCATGAAACGTCTGCAAGGAAAGAACCATGCTCAAAGACATCAAGGACCCCACGTTCCTCTTCCCTGCAAACCCCACTCCCTTCTAGCACTGATGATATTACCTAGTTGGGCAATGAAACATCTCCAAGAAAACCACCAAGCTCAAAGAGCACCAAAGACCCCACCCTTCAACCCTGAGCTTTAAATATTCTCTTCTACTGATACCCTGGCCCTGTTCCAATCTTAATCAAGTCCATCTCACCTTAATTTAATTTTTTTTTTTGAGACTGACCCCTATTGCGTTGACTAATGAATGAACTCAAGTTTTGCCTCTTCCTGTTGCAGGACCAGGGATGGCCACGCCCAATTCTGGACCGCCCCTCAAGCTCTGTCTTCTCTGAAGCACTTATGTCGGAAAGTTCTCCGTGGCTGCTTCACTAGCTACCAAGTCCAGGCGCTGAGCATTCCCAAAAAGATGAAGGAATTCCTCACCTACAGGACTCTATGACGTTGGCCGGAAGGAGGTGCTGTTGCTGTGATCCATCCATTGCTCGCGCTGGCCTTGTGTTTGCACAAGACAAAACTCTCTGGGGTGTCAAGCAAGGAGGCAACATCATTTCCTAGCTGAGAAAATGACGAAGGATGCTGTGGGCAAATTCCCCCTTTTTCTTCCCCTGAAGTGGAAGAAATCTTAAAAGAGTTTTTGGCATACTAAAGTTTGCCAGATACCCTCCCGGGCTCAGAGTTACTGGCAGTGGTAAGATTCAAATAATTGAACAACCGGTTCTCTGCTCTAATGATTTCTTCCAACAACCAGTTCACCAAACTGCTCAGCAAGTTAACAACCGGTTCT